ATTAAAGAATCAAACCCATTGGATGATGTTTCCACAATAGATATTTATCTGCCATTATAGATGTGGCAGATACATAAATAATTTCTATGTATAAACATCAGATGTAGATGTTTAAACACACCCCTAGGACTATAGATGTTGGAAAAATAATTTTATAAACATTATAAATAATTTCCCACAATTGGATGTGGCAGATACATAAATGCATTAAATAAAGCAGAACTCAATGGATACAAATGAAAGCACAATCAAAGTAAAGCAGAAATCACAGTACACAACAAAGGTCCAATAATTCAAACCTTGGTGCCAAAAGGTCCAACTGGATAATTCATCTCCATAACATTCCTTCCCTAAATGAAAGAATTGGATTAAATTCAGATTCAATTCTCTCTCAAACTATCAAATGTTTATGGTATTACACATACGTATCAGACACATGAATTGAACTGAATAAACAATAGGATACCTCAAGTTCGGCCTAAAGTTCTTCACGCTCATGACCTGTAGCAATTGGCATAACATCTACAACTGTCTTCTTCCCCTTCAGAATAATATCTGCCATCTATCAACAACTAAATGATATTTCGAATCCTTACTCTTCTTTTTTCATCAAATTCAATTGAAATCTTGGTTAAAAACTTAATTTGATAGGAGTACTCCAATCCTTACTATTTTTTTTCAGCAAATTTTTTTGCAAAATTCCAAACTTATCCTAAAATCAGCTTTAACCATTTTTAAAAAAAGAAAACCATATTCAATCCTTACTCTTTTATAAATTAAAACCATCTTAAAACCCATTTCAAAACCATCTTCAAAACCCATTTTAGACCAAGTAACCATAATCGTACCTATATATAAAAGAGTTGATTCAATATTTGGGATATCTGTATTCTCAATATTTGCATTGTCCCTAATCATATATAACCAAATGTCATGTGGACTTGCAGTTCAATTTTCAAGTTTTGGCCCAAAAACATAAAACTGATACACTAATATGGAACCAATTAAGGCCATAAAAGTTTCCCACAACAGAAGTTATTAAATGGGAAGACTTGCAACTTATTATGATTATACCACATGTAAACAGATACATATAATTGTTTTACATATTTGATAATACATTCCGATATGTATTAAAACTTCATAAAATGGATGCTTAAATCTATTCATTAACATGCTCAGATTTAGTGCACATTCATACACATTTATCAAAAGAAACACCACAAAAAAAATGTCAATTATGTTTATTACTATGGCGGCAATGACTTCCATTTTCTCAAATAACCTATACCCCACAATAAAAAAAATGCTTAGAAACGTAGCAAAGTAGCTTTAAAGATTCAAATAACATGGAAATTGCATGTTAGAGCAACTCCAATGATGTGCTTCCCCTTCATGCGAAAGCCAAAATTTGGCAACAACACTTCCAATTCATGTGCTATTTTTTGGTGCCAAATTATAACAACACCAAAATTTGGCAAGAGCTCATCTCTCTATAACAGAACCCAATTATAACAGAACAAACATTAACTATAACAATTATAACAAAGCCAAATTATAACAATGCCAAATTATAACAGAACCCAATTTGTCAACAAAGCCATTGTGATATACGCTAATTGTTATTGTTGTTGTAGTTCTTTTTCAAAGCTAATTGTTGAAGTGTAAGGAAAATTCACCTAAATATAGCTGAACAAACATTAATTAACATCAATTTCAACAAATTCAATTCAAACAACATGAAAATGACACCAAATTTTCAACTCAAATTAGATAGTAAAATAATAAAGAAGTGAGAAAAAACAGTGTACATGGCAATTTAGCAGCTGAAGAATTTTGATGGGTGTTTCCATCTTTGGGTTTGAAGAACCCTCCCAAATCCATCTTCCTCAACAATTTTTAGAGAGAGGAGAGAGAAGAAAATACCTAAATTTAAAGGGCGACCAAAGCCAATACATAATCATACATATATATACATCCATCTCTGAAATTATATATATAATACACACAATCATATCTAATACACACCTAGTGTAAACCTACTAATATACATACTGAATCTCGTTCGACATCTCCACACAGCACAACTCTACCTAGATGACAACTACAAAGAACAACTTTTGTTACTGCAACTCTACCTTGACTCTTTGAAGAAAAAAAAAAGATTTCTAGATATTAGATCCAAAACAATGCGATAAACATCGGTCTAAGAAACTTTCACAAATTACCAACTATTGGTTCAGAAGATAATTAAAGATAGGTCTAAGAAACTTTCACAGATTATCACAAATTAAAGCCATAGCATCAAGATAATTACCAACTACAACAAACAAAATTTGAAAAAGTGAGCACTAACAAAAAAATTTACATGAAGAAGATGAATAATGGGTGTTTCAATAAAGAGTCACAGGGGACCAAAAAAACTTTCTCCAAAGAAAATCCGTGCAAGAGAGAGAGAGAGAGAGAGAGAGAGAGAGAGAGAGCTTACAGATAAGAGAAGGAGAGAATTCAAGCGAAAGGTATGAAGAGCTGTGAGGAAAAAGTTGTACTGAATCCTGAAGTTTTGAAAGCAACAAATGCAAAGAAAATTGTTAATTTGTCAAACACAGCATCGTGTCTTCCCAAAGAAAATTTGAAAAAGATGAGAGGAGTACGTGTGTGAGAGAGAGAGGGTGTGTGTTCAAAAACAGAGCCATCATATTACATTTTCAGACATTTTGACAAAGAGACAAAAAACAGAGGGTGTGTGTTCAAAATTATATATATAATACACACAAATAAATACATATTGGCTTTTAAATAATCAAACCCATTTCATAAATCAAAACCATGTAAAAAACAAAACATTTCAAACTAACCATATCAGATTAAGAGAAATGGGAAATTATATAACTCTTCTTGATAAAAACATATATATATGTACAGGAAATGTTTATAACATAACTCATTCTAATGTTTCAAAACAGGAAACATTTTTTTAGAGGAAACTGTTCTTGAGAAACATTTCAAGAAGAGTTTTGAAATGTTAACTCTTCTTGAGAGGGTGTGCTTTTATCGAAAAGAGTTTTGAAATGTTTCTCAAGAACAGTTTTGAAATGTTAACATGTTTTGAAATGGGAAATGTTTCTTAGGAAATTAATTTGAAATGTTTCAAATTAACCATAGCAAGAAGAGTTATTTTAAATTTTTACATGTATATATACATACATATATACACATATACATATATATACATCCAAAATGCAAATTATATATATTATACACACAAATACGTACAGACTTCGGTCCGAGGACAGATTTCTCAGGAAATTAATTTGAAATGTTTCAAATTAACCGGCCAACAGTGGTTAGCCATTGGAAATCCATTTGGTTTTGATCACACTCTCACTGTTAGGGTTATCAGTGGACTAAATCGAGACATATTTAGTCAAACGGGAGTCACAATTGGCGATGGAATTCAGACAGATGCAGCCATCAATCCTGGAAATAGGTATTATTTAGGACCATTCTTTCTATGCAGAAATCATAATGAATAGGTTTTACTTCCCCTCCTGACATCAAAATTATCTGATTCCAATTTTTTTCCATGCTCTTATATCGGGACTTTTCACCTTATCAGAACAAATGGTTATGAGTTATTTTAAATTTTTACATACATATATACATATATACACATACATATATACACATATACATATATATACATCCAAAATGCAAATTATATATATCATACACACAAATACATACAGACTTCGGTCCGGGAACAGTGACGCTCTGGCCGGGGACAGACTTCGGTCCGGTTCTGGCAGAGATGACTCCCTTTCAACCCTTGTTCCCCTGTTGATCTATTTTATTTCGGCAGAGAGGGAGGGAGGAGGAGCACGATGAGGATTGGGCTCCGACAGGGAAGTACGGGAATGGACTCTGATGGAGGTAGAGAGAGAGAGAGAGAGTGTGTGTGTGTGGGTGTTCAAAATTTGAAAACAAGAAGAGAGGAGAGGAGTATGTGTGTGAGAGAGAGAGGGTGAGTGAGATGTTTTTAGCCCTTAGATTAAAATCAATCTAATGGTCAAAATTTGGACAAAGGGACAAAAGTCCCATCTGGAATCAAATTCTTAGCTTCCTTGTTATATAGACTAGCGTATGCCCGTGCCTGAAGGCACGGTGTAAATAATGTTAGGATTAAAAAAAATGTTAGGATTAAATTCACAAAACTCTTCACAAAAACTCACTCTTACTTATATAATATATAGCTAGTTAGACAGATGTGCCTCGTCAAAAGTGTAATTAACTTTTTTTTTTTAAAAAAATGATAAGGAGAGATTCTCTCTCTCTAGGACCCATGCATCACAATTGACACACATTTCCAGAGACATGGTTTTCATTTTTCTTCATCTTTCTCACCTTTAGGATCCCCAAATTCCTCATACATATACACACATATTTGCAGAGATATATCTATATCTATAGATACAAATAAAAAACCCACACTTTCTCTCTTTGTGCGAAAATGGCTTCAGTGATACACACACATTTCTTTTTTTGATCTCTCATTTTTAACACCATGTGAGAGTGTAACTTAACTGGTTAAGTAGCCAAATCTTTGAAATGGCATATAGTTGTCCTGTAGCATGTCTAAAATACCTATTTCCTGCCTCTCCAAATTTCCAATATTTAGGTTCATGGTACCTCACTCCCCTGTTCCACAGAGTGCACAAATAAGACATCTAAAAGCTTAACACTTTCTCAACATCCAGTTAACAGCAAGAATTTTAGGACAAAATTCCACTTACTTCTGAGCAAGGATAGGACCAGATTCATACATCCGATATACACCCGTGGCTTTTTCCTGTATCTTGCCAAAGTTTCTTCTAGTGTTGCTGCAACATTTACAACATCTTACCCAATGCAACAAAATAAATGAATAATTTGTAGAGTTACAAACACATATAATTTCATTTTCAAGTAAAACTTGTTTAATCAATCATATCAGTCGTGGATTTGAATTTAGAGGTTCATATGAACATGGGCATCTGAAGTTCTACCCCGATTGGGAATTTAAAAGTTGTAACACATTGAAGCAACAGCAACAGGAAAATATGACTTTGTCTTCACATAAAAATCTGCATCCCACAAAGCTTGAGTCTGCATAAAAACCCAATTCAAGTAAAATTAATACATTAAAGACTATCAAATCTTGTGAATTTAATAGTTTGTTGAACATAATTAGCAAGAAAAACAGAGTGAGGGTGTTGAATACTCACAGAGGCCGACTATAGGTGGTAAATTCGCAAGCTTTGAATAACTTATTCCCTGCAGTGTGAGATAAAATTGACATGAGATCTGGGAAAAAGGTATAGATTTTCTTCTTTGCTATATATTTTTCTAGGATAGTATATGACCCTGATATGTGACATAGAACAAATAATTTTCCTAGCCGTTTAGTTGTGTTTCTGTTTGTAGTTTTTTTGAAAAACGAAGACAATGAAAAATTCTAAAAATGGCCATCATTTTAATATTTATGATTATATATACATATGAATACTCGAAAATAAGTACTTGTTTAGTTGTGTTTTCATTTTCTGTCATCTGTTTTTCATTTTTGGAAAAATACCCAAAAATGTGACATAAAACTGGATAATTTTCCTACATAACCATATCAGAATATTTTCCTAAAATTGGTTTTCTGCAGACAAGCATTGATTGGAGGAAATTATGGCCTTCTCAACACTACAACATTTATCCCTAATCCGGATTATTACGGGTTAGTCAATATTGAGATTTTCTAATACCCTTTACTATTTAATAAAGCTGAAATTATCATTTTGACACATTTATTCTATATTAATGTTTGGTTGGCTCTTCTACAGTGCTCTTCTGTGGCATCGCTTAATGGGAAAGATTGTACTTCAGACCACTTATGACAGTGCCCCTTATCTACGCGTATATTCTCATTGTTCAAAGAAAGATGTAAGCGAAATATTCTTAACCTTTTTTAGCTTAATTTCTCTTTCTTCTCAATAATATATCATTTAGCTATCACTTCATTAATTAAATTCATTTACTCTATTTTATCTCAGTCGGGCATTTCACTGCTTCTAATCAACATGTCAAATTCTACTACCTATAAAGTTTCGGTTGCAGATGACTCAAACTTCTATCCTGACAACTATGATGATAACCAACAACAGATCCACAGGGAAGAGTACCACTTGACTCCAAAGGATGGCAATATTCAAAGTGATGTGTTGATGTTAAATGGTGTCCCCTTGGTGCTCACAGAGACAAATGATATACCAGCTATGTATCCAGTGCTCGTGCATGCTTCAAACCCCATCAGTGTTGCACCTGATTCTATTGTTTTTGCAACTCTTAAAGATTTCAAAGCACCAGCTTGTTCTTAGGAATTTTTCTTTATGTCACGTTATTAGAGATCTTTGATTTATTCTATTGGGTATATATTTACAAATGGTAATAATGGGATTCTCTTATTTGTTTCATTTCGTCACATTAATCAGAAAATAGAAGTTAAAAACACAATGAAATGTCACATTTCTGGGTATTTTGAATAATGCCCCAGGGCTATGTAGTAAATAATCAGAAAATGTTCTCACCTGATGATCAGATAATTTTCATTTTCATTTTCTGATATGGCTATGTAGCCATATTCTCACCTAAATATTCTCACCTACATAGCCATATTCTCACCTAAAAACATTTAAATTAGGTGAGAAGTGTTTTCATTTTCTGTCATTTGCTATGAAGAATGAATAATGCCCCCGCTCTCGTGAGTCATATCCCCAGTTTAAGGTGAATACACAATGAAATGTATTGAAAATTTTATTACGCATGTATAGACTAACTATGCATTTTTGTGGAAATGATGATAAACAGAAATGAACCCAAGTCAAGGATTTGAAAGCAAACTGAATATGTTCGCAATTAGAATCTCACCTGGAAATTTTCTACTTTCTTCGCAAGCCTTTGAAGGCAAAATCTAAGATTTCAAGCAGAAACTGAAATCATTACCCAACTAATAAAAAACACAAAATTGAAATCAAAATGGCAAGAGAAGAAAACGAATCCGGAGAGCTTTAATCGGAATTTCAAGCAGAAACTGAAATCATTACCCAACTAATAAAAAACGCAAAACTGAATTCAAAATGGCAAGAGAAGAAAACGAACCCGGCGAGCTCCAATCGGGGTTCGAAGCAGAGAGAGAAAGAAAAGACGGCGGCGGCGGCTGGGAGGGTTGCGAGTGGGAGGGCTTGTTTAAATGATACACCATCTATATAGGGTGAGAGATGGAATTAAATCCATTCAATTAAAGAATTAAAATAAATCAAAGATACAAAAAATCATGAGAAGCACAAATCATGATGTCCATATCTTATGATATCTTTGACAATATAATCTTATCTCCAACAAATTCATGTTATTTTAGTCCTTGATTTTTGAAAAGGAGACTAATATTTTGAGACAATAAAAAATAAAATAAGGAAATAATATTTTTAGACAGAGGGAGTACACTAATAAGATGCTGAAACTGAAATAAGTTTTAAAATGCAAAACTTTTTGAATAAGCTCAAACCCAAATGGAAAGTGAAGGTCAAAATTTTAGAAAATTGATGAAATTCGTTGCGGCTTATGTCTTTGCAAAGAAGGCAATCCTATCTAAGCATGTTTTGGTTCTCAGTGAGTTAACCAGTTGAGCTCAAGCTCTGTCCATTCTGCTACTGTCAGGATGAGCCAGTTCCACTGCTATACCTAGAAACACCCGTCCATCTCTCCTACATGATATTACTTATTACTTCATTAAAACACTAACTACTAGAACAAATCATAGCTTTGGCAGCGGTAGTTTCAAAACATACATATCCTTGATGGAAGGCCAGTAGCAAATTCTTCCAATTATACCAATCTGCGTTGAAAATTTTCCAGTACACCACATTTTGGGACTTTGCATGATCTTAGCATGAAAAGAATTATCAGTACAAGGTTCACGTAATCAGTGATTTGCTGCGCTATAATGGAGAAGCTGAACCAAAGAAGTTGGCAATACCAAAAAAAAAAAAAAAAAAAAAAAAAAAAAACCATTTCCAAAAAACAATTTCACATGCCCTTTGCCTCCAAATCCTTCCCTACTTTCTTTTTACCTTTCCTATACTAACTACAAAAACACATAAATCTAAGGCATGCTCTTCACTTTAAGAAGTCCCATAAAACCCATAAAAAAGAGGGACCAATTTCACACTTAAAAAGCCATCAATCCATACACTTTCTTTAGAAAGTCCCCTTCTCAAGACACTCCTCCATCTACCCCCACTCACTTTATATAGAATAGAATGAATTTATATATAAATACTGGTTAAGATATAGAATATTGATAAATTAAATGTGACAATACAATTTTTATTTTATTTTTTTGATTTTTTGTTTTTAGCTCACCAACATATTCAAAATTACATCCCAACTAATCTTGAGATGTATGTATTTCGCATATACCAAGTAATTTCCGTCATTTTCATAAAATCTTAAAAAAACTAACAACCATATATTGTAGCCAAATATTTTTTCCAAATCATTTTTTTTAAGCTCTCTAATTTCTAAAAAAAATAAATCATAAAAATTGTAACAATATATTCAATAGAAATCAAAACTTAAATATTCAATAGAAGTAACCAAACACCAAATATATTCAAAAAAACATACATACAGATGTATGTATGTATCTACAATTTAAGTAGTATTCAAAAGCATACCCACCTTCCCCCCCTCTCTTTCTCTCTCTCTCCATTTTCTTTTCTCCTTTTCTTAGGTTCTCAGAAATCCTATGATGATCAACCTTTCCCTATGGTGTTTGGTTACTTATATAGACTTCAAAAAGCTGTAAACAATATATCAAAACCCAAATATATTGTAGGTTATTAATAGCAACAAAGATACGATTTAACCAAAAAAAAAAAAGCATTTCCAAAAAACAATTTCACATGCCCTTTGCCTCCAAATCCTTCTCTACTTTCTTTTTACCTTTCCAATACTAACTACAAAAACACATAAATCTAGGGCATGCCCTTTGCTTTAAGAAGACCCATAAAACTCATAAAAAAGGACCAATTTCACACTTAAAAAGCCATCAACCCGTACACTTTCTTTAGGAAGTCCCCTTCTCAAGACACTCCTCCATTTACCCCCACTCACTTTATATAGAATAGAATGAATTTATATATAAATACTGGTTAAGATATAGAATACTGATAAATTAAATGTGACAATACAAATTTTTTTTTTTTTTGATTTTTTGTTTTTAGCTCACCAACATATTCAAAATTACATCCCAACTAATCTTGAGATGTATGTATTTCGCATATACTAAGTAATTTCCGTCATTTTCATAAAATCTTAAAAAAACTAACAACCATATATTGTAGTCAAATATTTTTTCCAAAACATTTTTTTTAAGCTCTCTAATTTCTAAAAAAAAATAAATCATAAAAATTGTAACAATATATTCAATAGAAATCAAAACCTAAATATTCAATAGAAGTAACCAAACACCAAATATATTCAAAAAAACATACATACAGATGTATGTATGTTTCTACAATTTCAGTAGTATTCAAAACTCATACCCACCTTCCTCTCTCTCTCTCTCTCTCCATTTTCTTTTCTCCTTCTTTTCTTAGGTTCTTAGAAATCCTATGATGATCAACCTTTCTCTATGGTGTTTGGTTACTTATATAGATTTCAAAAAGCTGTAAACAATATATCAAAACCCAAATATATTGTAGGTTATTAATGGCAACAAAGATATTATTTTGGTTCACTACAACAAATATACTATTTTAATAACATACAAAGACTGATCTAATATACAAAGACCCACACTATTTTAACCAAAAAAAAAAAATAACTTGACTGTGTTGAAATAGACAAATTTTCATGAATCAAATTCCCAAGTTTAGAGAGAAATTAGAAGAGAGAAGTTATTTGGTGTGATTTTGATTTTGTTGTTGCCTCAAGAAACTTGATTGTGTTGAAATAGAAAAAATTTCGTGAATCAAATTCCCAAGTTTAGAGAGAAATTAGAAGAGAGAAGTTAAATTAAGGCCAACAACAAAATCAAATTGAGGCAACAACAAAATCAAAATTAAAATTGAGGCAAAATCAAAATCAAAATTAACATGAATCAAATTGAGGCAATAGCAAAATCAAAATCACACCAAATAACTTGAGGCAACAGCTTGAGGCAACAACAACCTAACAAAAGTCAATCAAAATCACACCAAACTAAACATTAGACCAAATAAATTCAAAGAAAGAAACAGAGGAATAGGGGGTTCGGGGTTGGGTAAAGAGAGAAAGTAAGAGAATAAGTTATTCTTCAAAGCTTGACAACCACTCACCACTCCTGAATTCACCTCCAAATTCAGACCCAGCTCACCAAATTAGCTCCAAACGTAGAAGCACTCCTAAGTTTCCATCAAACAAATCCAATGACACCAACCCACCAACAAAACTACTTCTACTAAGTCTTAAAACTCAAAACCTAATAAAAATTCTCTTTTTTCTGGCAATAACAAACACAATTGGGTACAAACAAATCAACATAATTTGAAACACATCAACTATACATAAACACAATTACAAACTAATCGAAACCCACAATGGAATTGAAGTCACTATCAAAAAATAAAACAAAAAAACACTCACCGATCAATGGAAGCGTGCATACAGAGAGCTCTGAAACCGAAATGCTATTTTTCGGAGAATTGTTTTAGAGCAATCCAAATACCTAAAAATGATATCCAGAAAATACCTAATTAACAAATCAATTTAAGGTTTAGAAAAACAAAAATCAAAATCAAAATCAAAATGAGTACTCTGTTACTCTGTAAGGGTCAGACGTGGGTACATTTAGGCGGCAATTGTCATTCATCTGAACCATCAATAAAAACTTAAATTCATCTTATCCGTTAATATGAAATGTATCTCTGATACATTTTATATATTTTCAAAAACCCTTCTCCCTTATTATATAGATGGGTTTGGGGTTTGGAATCATATATATACATACATATTGGAGTCATGTATAGAGAATTCTCCATTATCCCTTTGGAGCACCTCATGCCAACACAAAAATGGTGTTTTTGATCAAAATCCACATAGCAAACATCCACACCAAACCAAATCTATAGAAGTTTGCACAACATCAATCTGCCTTTAAATAATCTTTAACTTTATATAACATTAATCATTTTCAAAGTTTGTCAACAATAAAACCAAAAATAGTGTAAATTCTACACTCGAACTCTCTAGCTTTGCACCAATATAAACTTATTGACGTGCAATGCATGTGCTTACACTACTACACATAGTCAAAAGATGCTTTATAACTAAAGAATCATCTTTTAGCTATCAAAACAAATATTCAGAAAGTGTATTAGTATCGTCACAAATGTTTGTCAACAATAAAACCAAAAATAGTGTAAATTCTACACTCGAACTCTCTAGCTTTGCACCAATATAAACTTATTGACGTGCAATGCATGTGCTTACACTACTACACATAGTCAAAAGATGCTTTATAAGTAAAGAATCATCTTTTAGCTATCAAAACAAACATTCAGAAAGTGTATTAGTATCGTCACAAATTACTTTCACATATACACATGACAAAGTTTCAGATTTACACTTGAAAATGAAATGCATAATTACATACACTTGAAAATGACAAATCACAATAAGTTTCTTCATCAGCAAAAGGGCATAAATCAGTTGTGACAAAAGTAACTATAAAACTAATGATGCCTAAGCTCTCCTACATTCCAAAAAAATTACCAAATCATTTATAAGAAGTATCTAGACGAAAATCGGAATACTTAAGACGAAGCTTTAAATATAGAAGGTTTGGAATATATAAAACTTAACAAATTGCTTAAAATTTGAAAGATTCTAAATGACTCAAATAGCATGATGAAATTCTCAACAACCAATCAGAGAATTCTAAAAAAATAAGAAGACTTTTGGTAATGAAAGTTTGAAAAGTATGATACTACA